CCTTCTCCTCCTGCCTCCTCGTTCTGCATCTCACTGGACGAGGCCCTGTGTCCCACTCTTTGGGTCACTTCTGGGGCCTGGAAGCTTCTGCTGAGAAAGTCAGGGACCAGGGACAGGTTCCTGTCCTAGGCCAAGTGCTTCCCCTAGGGAAGTCCTCTTTCCTGGTCCCAGGAACCCCCCAAAGGCCATCCAGCTGCCTCCGAGGCCAGGCCTCTGCTGCACTAGGGCCAGACCTCCCTGGCAACAGGGGTCTTCCTGGGGACAACCTCCCCTCCCCCTCCAGACTAGGTGGTTCTCCCCCTGACCACAAAGGCCACCTTCCCTGAGACCATGGGCCCCAAAGGCCAGGCCGCTTTCTTCAACTGAGGGATCCCGGACGCCAATGCACTCCCTCAGCTGGCTCCGCGTCTGTGTTCTCCAACACGAAGGAGCACATCCTTCTTCTGCCTCCCTCGGAAAGGTCTAGCAAAGTCCCGTGCAGCCAAGGTGGGGCTTGAGGACCCCAGGCTCCCACTTCCCAAGGCTTTTGGAGCGACCTGTTTCTTTCCCTCGGGGCCACGATGGGCAGGAGGCTTTGGTGACAGTCCCCTGCTGCCTGGGCTCCACCTCCCAGCTGTCACCAAATCTGAATGAATCGCATCCGCCAAGCCAAGCTGTTTGGGTGTCCTTTCTCTGAAGTAGGACCCTGATGATAGGGTGGGCTTCTCCCCTGGGGCCTGAGGAGGTCAAGGCCGTCTTCGCCAGGGGTCATCTGAGACCTGGGGCCAGGGGTCATCTGAGACCTGGGGTGGGGGCTGCGAGAGACGGCAGTGCCTGGGGCCAGGGGGGCGTAGAATAAATGCTCGGTCTGGGGGCAGCATGATTTTAGAGCAAGCGATGAAGTCAAGGGACGGAGCAGAGGGGTAAAAATGGGGAACTCACAGAGGGCAGGATGCCGGGAACCTTCTGCTTTCCGCTGAAAGTAACAGAAAATCTGACCCGAGGAACTGAAACCCTCCATCATTCCTCTAACAAATGTTTATTGATCACATACTACACGTCAAGCACAGTTCCAGACACCAGGGATACAGAAGAAATTCCCTCCTCTCATGGAGGCTGGTTATAGTGGAGGAGGCAGATAACAACCCAAATCACATAATCTGCCAGAGAAGAGAGAGCTGTTGGCAGGAGGAAGGAGAGCTTTGCCAACGATGAGATTTTACATAGGTGGGTTAAGAGATGAGATTTGAAGGAGGCGAGGGAGAGGTGGTGCAGCTGAGTACCCATGAGGGGGCTTGGCAAGCAGAGGGAAATGGAAATGCAAAGGCCCTGGGGCAGGCACAGTAAGATAGGTAATACTGTGCAACAGGACCCAAAGAACAGAGGGGTGGGGGGTATTCAGGTGTCTTTGATTCAGCCCAAGGAGTCACTGAGAACCTTTCTTTTTGCATCTTGGTGGCCAGAGCCACACTCGTACAACCAATATCCAAAGCGGAAAGGGTTGGCTTCCCATTCTGGTCTTCTGCCAAACCCTAGGAGACTTCCCCGCATGCCTCGTGGGCCAGCCAGTCTCTGGAAAGTCAAGGACTTATCCTGAGTGACTTCCCCTGATCAGGATTCAGTCCCTGGAGTTGAAAAAACGTCCCAGCCTCTCCTAAGGAACAAGGCTGCTCCAGATCTGAATAAGTTGAGGCTCTATTAACGAGGAAGGAGGGGGAGAGAGCTACAGGGACCAGCACAAAGAGAAACCACCCACATTTTTTCTTCCCTCCTCCACCCCCTTCTTCTTCCTCCTTTTCCTCCTCCTCCCCCCCCCTACCGGGGATTGAACCCTGGGGCACCCAACCACTGAGCCATACGCCCAGCCCTTTTAAATATTGTATTTAAAACGGGGTCTTGCTGAGTTGCTTAGGGCCTCATTAAGTTGCTGAGGCTGGCTTTGAATTCAAGATCCTCCTGCCTCAGCCTCCCGAGTGCTGGGATGATAGCCAGAGCCACCAGGCCAGCCTAGGTTTCTCCATAGAAGGAATTTAATAAGGGGAGTTGCTTATACTGAGAGAAGACGTGGTGGAGGGAGGAGGGCTAGAGAGCAAAAAGGGAGGAAGGGGAGGGTGTTCTGGTCCCTGGGGCTGTGTCATAAGTGACCCCAAGACTTAGTAGCATGGAATTTTTCAGGAATGTGACTCGGGAGTTTGGGGAGACTTTATTTCTGCTCCATGAGGTCTGGAGCGTTAGCTGGGGTGGAGTGAGGGCAGGGGGCTGGAGCCATCTCCAGACTCATATACTCATAATTCTGTGGCCGAGAACTTGGCTGCAGCTGCAGCCGGAACCCCTGCACATGGCTCTTTTGTATACTTAGACTTCCTTACGACATGGTGCCTCGGCTTGAGATAGGAGGGATTCCAACACAGCCAGCCCTCCCCTCCACGATTCCCATCGTAATCCCCTGGACTATGACTATAATGGAATATGATAGAACATGATGATACTATGTTACATGGCAAGGGGGATTTTCCACGTCATCAAGTTTAGCAATTAGTTGAGTTTGAGTTCAGTAGAAAGGACGTTATCTGGGTGAATTGCGTGTACTCCTGCAAGCCCTTTAAAAGCAGAGTGTGTTCTCTGACTGTGGCCGAAGAGGAAGTTAGGTGTGAGACATGCAGAGGATTTGCTGTGGCATCGCTGGCCTGAAGTTTGGAGGGGTCCTGAGAATGGCCTCTAGGGGCTAAGAGCAACCCTCAGCCAAGCACCAGCAAGACGGCGGGGCCCTCAGTCCTGTAAGTGCCAGTAACCGAT